TTCAGAACTTATACAAGTAATACCAAGATACGCATTTTGGATGGGCCAGTTAGGGCAGCAGCAGTTATTATTCACATGTTTTCAGTGTAATATAGTGTATACAGATGAGACAATATTCTACAATGCACAGTTAATACCCACAGTATGAACAGCACAGCGATCACATTCTCATAATGCAGAGATACTGTAGGTATTTGGAATATATATGGAACTGCCTAATGGCCCAGTAGTCAGTTCAGTGGTTCCGAGCAGTTCGTGAAGCTTGGACAGTTTCCATCATCTGAGTACAAGATTTGATGTCCAAATCTCAACAGTCTACTACAGGGACCCAAATGTCAGTAATATTTAGTTTGACAATTTTTCTCTTCACCTTAGGTGAATGCATTCAATTTCCTCTGTTACTGGCAAGGAGGAAGTTCTCACATCCATCTCCTCGACAGTCTTACTAGGGGTATAAGTTGACTTCCAGCGCAACAGTACAATCTTCTTCAGGTACTTAACTGTGTTGTTCTTGACACTAACAAAACAGAAGGTATTTATCATGCTATTGCTCATGGCAATACACTCAATAATGTAAAAAGCCACCAGTGAGTTCTTCTGGCGGGAGATAAGTGTCGGGTGGAAGTCTCTCAGAATGGTGAATCCATAATACGGTGCCCAGCACAGGATGTATGCGGTCAAGATTCCGATTAGGACCATCACTGTCTTACGGCGACAGCGCAGCCTCTTCCGTATTTGTTCTGTCTGAAAACCTGGGACATTTTTGAACCACAGCTCGCGGGAAATTCGGGCATAACACATTGCCATGGCAATCACAGGGCCAACAAATTCCACAGCAAAGACAAACAGGAAATATGACTGGTAGTACACTTGCTGGTCCACAGGCCATATTTGGGCACAAAAGACTTTGTGAGTGTTTGAGGTGGCGCCTCCATGAGGGTACATGGTCTCAGAGGCAAAATAGGCAGAGGGAATTGATATCAGAATGGGAACAATCCAGACTCCTGTTATCAGACAGTAGGCAGTTTGGTACTTCATACGAGGCCTCAGAGGATGGACTATGGCCATATACCTGGAAGAAAAACAAGACAACTGTTATGCAATATTAAACAGCATATTTAGCAATCTGAGTGTTATGGAAGTGCCATAGTTAAAAAAATTATATCTAGAATTGTATGAAAATATAAAATTATTATTGGCAGAAGTCATTTTAGTATGGAAATATAGATAAAAGAAATATGTATGTCCATGTGTAAAGGAAGACAGAGGCAGTAAAATGTTTATTGCTACAAATAATTACTTTTTAAAAATAATTTATATTATAATTATTCCTCTAGACACAGCTAAAAGTTTAATATTTACACATTTAAATAAAAAATGCTAATATATACAGATGATGAAGACCCAAAAATTATGTTACCCCTTGTGCCCGATGTGAACGAGAGCATTGTCATTATGGTGACCACTATTACATCACAGAAATGTTGCATCATACATTAAAGGTGATTTCAGGGAAACGTTGTATTGATTAATGGCGATCCTTCCCTCATAGTGGAAAAGTAGATAAAAACCATGATGGCAATATGGCCCCACGGCTTTAACAGAGCCACCAGCTTCCCTTAGGCCAACCACCAATTAAAGTATGTAATCATATTGCAATAGTTTTAAGGATGGGTAAATTTTTTTTGTGTCTGTTTGTGTTATTTCCAAGGGCCTTTTTAACATGAAAATGGAAAAAAAAAAAACCTTTTCACTGCAGCCGTTCTGATACGACAAAATAAGAGACATTTAGTATGGTTCTGTTGTGTTCTGACCAACTGAGGGACCACAAATGGAACGGTCCCTATATGGCACTTTCCTGTTTGACCACTTCATACAACATGCCTCATTCAGGACACCTAAATGCTTCCTGTCTAACAGCCACACACATTCATACTCTGACGAACGCATCGGAAAGCAACTTGGGGTCCAGTATGTTGCTCAGTGATACTTTGGCATACAGACTTAAGCTGCCAGTTATCAAACCAACAACCTTCTGATTAGTAGGTGCCCTGCTCTACGTCATGAGCTACAGTCACCACAAAGCAATCCTGAAATAAAAGCAGCTAAATTAAATTCATTCATCATTATTTTTTATTTCTTACACCTGTGCTTTCCCACACGTCAAATTCATTATCTGCTATAAAAAAGGCTTTTAAACAGCTTCTGTTTAATTAAGCACTCACAATGATTGCACCTGTGGCCTAATAGCGTATTCTTAAAAGCCCCTCAAGCATATAAGTCTGAAGGGGACAGAAATGGCTACACTTTGCATCCTCCAGAGAGGTTTTTTTTGTCCTTTCCTACTTACTCACCAAATATAATATTGCTGATATGCTCACTTGCCATGTTTCATGTTATTCTTTTTTACATTTGAAGACAGTCTTTACCTAACATTTACCAAATACCTTATATTTAACTTAAAGATGGCCCCTTTGGAACCGTGGAGAGTTACAAATATCTCTGAAGTTAATATACATCATTTTTCAGATGTTATAGAGATGAGAATTATCAATTATTTAGAAACAAGTTTCTCATCATACCAGTAAGATGAATATTGAGTTTCTTTAAGCACGGCTCCTGTTTTTTACTTAAAAATTTTCCAGCTGCTATGTAACTATGCTATGCATGTCATACATTCTTATATATTTCTATACTGTGTATTGTGTATTTTGTTGTACAGTTATTTTATT